TATCTCTAACACATATCTAAATAATGAGAGATGATCGATCGAGATTTAAGAATACGAAAAAAAAACAAATTTTTTCATACTTTTACTTGATATTAGTTGACTATTGCTTATATTAATCATTAATTTATCATGTATTCTATGTTGAATACGTGTCCATTTTTGTTTATATTCTTCTTCATCTTCATTTTTTTCAACTTTTTTTCGTTGTATCCATTTGTCACAAACGAAATTATAAAAATTTTCACATGGGTCTATATTAATATTAACAAAATCTGGTAATTGTCGTTTTTTTGCAATTGAGAATATATGTGAATCAGTAGTTGTTTTTGAGGAAATCATAAAAATATTACTGTTCAAATAATAGATAACTATAGCTGTTAGAATAATAATAAAAGCAAGACAAAATCCAAAAAGAATACAAGCAAGACGATTAAATGTTGATAATGATGATGAGGATGATGATGATGATGAGCCGTCCATTGTTGGACTATATAAATAGATATAAGTGTGTTGTGATTGTCGTCGGTAACAACACAACCGACTTAACCATGAACAACAATCAGGCATTTTATTGAAAATTGATAATACTATTGATTAGCGTAGATATAAAAATTATAACAAATAAAACTTACGTGCAAATAATTCAACATTGTTTTAGTCGTTGCATGCATGAATGACAACGACGATAAATTCTTATTGTCATATTAATAGTACGAAACTGATTATGTTGATGATTATAATGATGAGTTGGAGAATGAGAAGAAAAAAAAAACCTTCAAAATAATCGATTGTATATAATATATATATATATATCGTTTTCTTCTTTATTTAATCTACATTAAGCCACAAGGGTGCAATAAATTAATGAAACGTGTGTGGGGGGTATACTCTCATCAATCCTTTCCGACTGTGTATCATATACAATAACTATTAGTTTATTTTCTAGGTTATTAGTCAGTTACTCATCTTTTATTAGTTATGTTTCATTGTATATATAACAAAGAGAAAATATACAATCTCTAGCCTATTGAACTTACATGCATGTATGAATGATTGAATAAGTGTTGATACTAGTTAACTACTTATTAGTTCATTTACAATTCCATCACTCATTCTAACATCAACATAAAAATGAGAATAAGAAGAACAAACTAATGGGATGGCACGAACATATATATATTTATATATGTATGACTTTAAGTCCGATGATCATATTCAAGATATGACATTTCTAGGCTGAATAGAATAGGCACATCTCATTAAGAATAGTAACGTTGAATATGTCTTTTTTTCCTGACAATGCATAAATATATATATGTGTAATAACCTTACAACATTGTTACTGATTCCTTTTCTTTTCAATTATCCATTAGGTAGGCGGAGAAAATGAAAGAATAGTATTATAGGTGTACCATCAAACGGTCAAAAAATCTCTTATGTTCTCCTTTAATCTTTTACTTATATTGAAATTAGAGACGAGTGTCTGCTTTCTTTTATACATATATTTTACTAGATGTATAAGAAGTGAGAAAGAAAACATATTATACTCGACAACATACGGACCATATCAACATACCGTCAAATTGAAAATTTGTTATATCAAAGCATGTGTTCAAGTAGCGACTTGACTCGATATACAATTGAATTCGATCAATAGTCATACTATTCTTTCAAGTTATAACACACATATGTACATATATATAGTCTAGAGGGAAGCGAGGTGAGAATAACTTTAAAATGACTCTCGATTTTTTTTTCATTTGAACTAAATTTATATTGTATTTATATAAAAGTATGTAATAAAAAGAGAAATAGCAATTCAATCAACAGAAGAAAGAATGTATTGAATCGAATAGCAGACGAGAGAGAGAGAGAGAGAGGTATATGTACCCCATGAGACTATTTTCTCTAATATTCTCTTCTCATGATAGAATACATAAATGACAAAATATTAACACTTTGAAAATTAACATAGTAAATTGAAAGAGAACAAAAAGAAAAACGAATAATTCTTTGAATATCTATGCATGACAGATAATTACAACACTCAAGGAAAATCGACAAGTAGATCTTCATTTCTTCTTTTTTTTTATGTTCAACATATGACAGGGAAAAAAAAAGCTATGAGAATTTCTGGCCATTATAACCGAGTTTCATGCTTGCCAAATGCCGACTCATTTAATCGGAAATTTGAAGAGTATACTTCACTTATATTCTCGATGAAGTATGAACGAGAAGAAAAACCATTTAGTACATCAATTATATATGAACTTTTAATTAAATAAAGACGTTTTGTTTCGTACAATTCAACGATTCACAAAGAATATACTATTTAAAAATGTCTTGCTATTATTCAACAGATAATTATTTGTAAAGTAATAGTTATTGTATTTTAGATACTAATGCCATGTTATTTTATCAGATGTTCTTATTATTTGTTAACAATTTGATTAATCGATAAAGTGAATTTGGTATGCAATGAAATATATTTATTATGAAAAAAAGCAATCGATAAATAGTTAATCTTCTTCAGACAATTTATTGTTCTGTAAAAACAAATCATCAGTTTAATGGAATAGACTTTTTTAGAAATGGGAAAAATTCCTTGAGGAATCAATGAGAGTAGTACCTTCAAAAGAAAAATTTGCTCATTAGATCATACAGCTGTTCTTTTCAATAAAGAGTAAGACAAATGACTATCATTTATGATCGATATTCTTTTGTTGGCAAACAAGAATATGATTAGTCTTTGATTGTTTTAGCAAAAGACTAGTGAATACTAATCTTGTTAATGAATGACAAACATATTAATAGAAAAAAATAAATCTAATTTTTTGTTTTATCTACAATAGCCATTTGATATTTCTCTGTTAGCAAACAAAAAAAACTCATTGAACATCATTTAACAAACTACATGAATAATAGATGTAAAAACCAAATGAAATTATTAATTTTGTAATTGTTATAATGATCAGAACTATATCTTATCTTTCTATTATATTGATAATTTCTTTTTTGAAATGTAAATGTTCGTAAACAATCAATGTTTCTTTAAAATTCTTGTACTTCCATGTAAAACAAAATTTTGATCGTCACTTATTGATGATGATAAAAGTTTTTTTGCATTTTCACTAACACCTTGTAGAATAAATACTTGACATGTGTCTATTTTGTTAACAATATTACTAGCAATCATCACTTTATTATGCATTGATCCAGTTACATCAATAATTGATGATTGTTGTTCATAATTATCAATTTGACTTTCATCAATATAAAATTTTTCAATAATATTTCCATTTGATTGAAGAATACCTGGTACTGATGTTAAAAAAATACATTGACGTGGTTGAAAATATTCAGCTAATTTAAATAGAAGATCATCACCACTTAATATTCTCCAATGAATTTTTTTATCTAATAAAACATCACCATGTAAAAGTGGAACATAACCATTTGAAAGAACTATTTCTAAATGTTGATAAAGATATTTATAATCTTCATTTGTTAATTCAAATTGATTTGAAATAAGAAAATTAAATGGTGATATACAAACGACTGGTATTTGAGCACGAACAAATGCATCTAATAAATATTGTTGTAAACGACCTAATGATCGACGAGTATCACAAACACCTAAACGACATTTTTCATAATCATCAGTATCTATATAACCTTGATTTAATTTATATTGCTTAGCTTGATGATGACTAAATAAGAATAAAATGATGATAAAAAAATTTAAGTTTATATTCCAAAATTATTATCATACCCAAATGATCCAGCACCATGAATTAATATTAAATTTTTATAATTATTTTTAAATAAATTAACAATAAAATCAATATTTGATAATTTAACATGTTCAAATTCACTTTTATCTGTTATTGATGCACCTCCGATTTTTACAATACGTGTTACCATATAAAATTAAAAAAAATATTTATTTTATTAATTAATTGAGCATTGTATTAGTAATTTAATATAGAATAATTTGATTATGTAGATTCATCTATTTTATGCTTTGTTTCGAATTAATTAAGTAGTTGATTCAGCTGTCTGAAAATCAATCATGCATGATCAAGATTTTTTTGGTCCCGTTCTAAAGAAAATTACTCCAGAATTTATTTGTATCATATCTAAAAAAAACGTCCTTCAATATTTATTTATTTTTTTGTTTATTTAGTCGATAGGTTATAAGATAATTCACTAACATTTAACTATAATCTTCAGTTCAGGTTGGAATAAGTTTTTTTTCGTAGTCCTGATGCCGATCTCAATAATTTCTCTTTCCCATATCGGTCTTGGTAAACTTCCAAATTTCAATCTCGGGATCAACATTGATCCCGCACAACTCGATGAAGTGTTGAAATTTTTCATAAAATTAGTAATGAATACTACTTTCAATTGTCGACATTCACTTTAATATAGTAGCGTAATATTATGTACTGATGTTATTCAGGATTAACTTTTCTTCTATCTCAAGAATTGTGAGGATGTGAGTTTTCTGTTTTCTGACATCCATACTCTGAAAGACTGCAATGGTGTATCAGTTCTAATGGACATCATTTTGAATAGAAGATTATCTTGACTTGTCTTGTTGTTATATCTGACGTTAAAATCATAAAAATACTCATGACAGATTACACTACCGTATCGAATGAAAGCAATGTTCATTAAAGATTTTCTTATGAAAAACAACCAAAAATTTTAAATATTCTTATATCATTGATTTTAAAAAAATCAGTCTACTATTGAAAATAATAAACCCTGTATATTTACATAAAATTGGCTATCGCTTTTTTTACCATTCTGTTCTCTTGTAAAACTCAATTGAAAATATATGTGATGATTTCTTTTTATTGGACGCTTTTAAATACCCTTCAGAATGGATGTATAGATGTGTCGTCGTTACAAGACGTTGAATGTTTTTTTGTGTTCTTAGGCAAAAAAAACAGCTGCTTTTTTTTTATTCTAATAAAAAAATTCAATTATTTCAGATGAAATTATTTAATATATTAATACAATATTTTTTATTTAATTATTTTTGTTATTGTCATGATCTTCATCATGCAGATCAGGTCATAGTTAAACAGTCAGAATCATCTGTGACCAATGATCCGTCTAATAAAAATATAGGTGAGTTTAATATTATCTATTTTAATCAAAAAAAAAAATTTTTTTCAGAAACTACAAATTCTCCAAGAAATAATAATGAATATCCACACGATACAGTTGATACTCGTTTTCAAGCTATACATGATTTAAAACAATCAACTTATGAATCTAGTCAAAATGATGAACAACAAATACAATCAAAAACTCCATCATTACAAAATCAAGCATCAATATCAATTGAGAATGATTTAACATCTACTGCTACGCCTATCAAAGAACCAACTGAACAACAAATTATATTATCATCAACAGAAACATTATCAAAAAGTGATACAATAAAAAATATTCCAATATCAAATCCAAAAATAATTTATAAAGATGATTTATCTTCAATAGAAACACAAATTAATTCACAAACAATTGATACAATTCAACAAACTCTATCATCAACACAATCTAATCAACAAGAACATATCAAATCAATATCAAATCATACACCATCATCTTCAAATACACAACAATCAATTTCTAATACAATAAACAATAGTAATTTATCAGAACAACACTCACAAATTCCAATAACAACAACAACAACAACCAATGATACATCAACTGTACAATATGAATCTCATATTCCAGTATCAGTAACATCTAAACATCATCAAAATGTACATATAAATTCTCGACATATTCAAACAGATCAACAACAAAATGAAAATATTTTTATAACAGGTAGAGAACAGTACATAGAAAAGTCACAAACTCCGCCAGGATTAAACCGATCTTCGGAGAGGCGCCACCTTCTACGCTAGATAAAACACTATTGAAATTGCTATAAATCATTTGCTATAAGCATATAAATTAAGTATTGATGATATACAGAAAAAATTCGCTTTTACATATTCAATTCAAGGAATACAACTCCTAGTTTGGCATTAGATTGGGTCAAAAGATTCATTCTATGATGAAAAGCTGTTAATGTAGGCCTTGCGGGATTAAAATATGAAACACGATATATAGGTACTGTTGCTAATCATATGAAGATTGTATTATTTTACCTATTTTGTGACATATTTCTTAACTATCTTTTTATTTAATCTTCTAGTAATGCAATAATAAAGTAGCTCATATATTATTACAAGACATTATTTATATAAGATCCTTTGATCATATATGAACAAAGTCTGCCGCAAGCTGTGACACGAGAGGAGTGCATGCAAATTTCTACCCTATATACTCCGATATTTCTTTTCGATCATGTTTCACAAAAAATAGATATCATTTCTATATTATTTTTCTATTGAAATCAATTTCCTATGTTTATATCTCAAAAACATTGATTTAAACTTTCATGAAATTTTTGCACATAGTTATTTCATTTGAATTTTCTGGAAATAGGAACTTATCATCTCCTCCTGATCAGTACTATTGAAGGAAATGATCGATTCTGACTATCAATGTTTAAATTTATAGGAGCTTTGAGAATATGAATGAACATATGATTTATAAATTGTATTAGTTGAGAGTTAACTTTTAGAATGAAATTACATTTTCTATTAGATGATAATCAAATAGAAAATATGATTGTTCAATCATACAACGATGAAGAAAAACATTCAAATGAATCATTATTAGAATCAGATACGAATTTGTCTTTACCATCAACAATAGATTATATGATTGAGAATGAAACACAAACAGATGATAATAATAATGATTCAAATCAATATGTATCTAAAATTGAATCAAAAGTAAATGATATTTGTTAAATATTTTCAAAATTTAAATCTTTAACTATCTTAGATTGATGATAATCAGACTTTACTTTCATCAACTCCAATAGTGAATGATAACGATAAAATATCAACAAATAAATATCGACAAATATGTTGGCATTTACCAAAACAATTCGAAACAACTATTGAATTAATAGAAAATGAAATTTTTCGTTTTATCAATATTGTATGAATGTTTATTTTTTATTTTATTTAATTGCTTATTGTATTCAATTTAATATTAATTTTTTTGTTTTAGTTACCAACATTTCTACAAACAATTTTATTTGAACATAATGATGACCGTGAAGTTTTAATGAATACAATATGGTTTACATTGAGTTGTACAATGTGTTTTTTATTTAGTTTAATTTTTCTTTTGATTGGTACAAAACGTTTAAAACAAACTAAACATGACAGAGAAATTCGTATACATTGTCAACAACTTCAACAAAAAAATAATCGAATAGAACTTGAACGTGCAACATTTGAACGAGAAAATCAAAGGTAAAATATTAAAAAAATATAAATAATATGTATTTTTTTTTGTTTTCAATTAATTATTTTCAATTGTAGATTAACGGATGAAATAGATAAATTAAAAAGTTTACCTGAACATAATTCAGATGAAGATATTTTTGCATTACGTGAAGAATGTATTCGTTTTCAAGAAGATTTAAAAACAGCATATACAAATCATATGCTTTTACAACAGGATATTGATTATAAACAAAATCTTATACTAAAACATGAATATGATAAACAACGACAAGTTGAAACAATTACATATTTAAATAATGAGGTAATATTATATACAAAAATTATAATTTCCGTTCGAAATTCTTTAAGATAAGAATGTAGTTATATGAAAACGAAGTATTTGAATAAGTTTGATTTGATTTTTTTGATTGACTTAAATGTCTAGGATAAATGTTGTTGATAAAGATTTAAGAGTACCTTCTGAGTCTTTTTTGACCATGTCTGAATTTCGAAAAGGATACAAACGATTAGATTAAAATTTTTGCTATACATAGAGCATCTGAAATAAGGAGGCATGTGCTCGGAGGAAAAAAGTGTTCAAGAGGATTTTCCATATGACCGCATCCTGGTATATTACAATTTTCATCAAACTTGAAAATTGTTTTCGAGATATTTTTGAGCATTTTCAGAAATCTGTTTTTTTTTATGAGACAAATACGTAAAGGTTCGGAGTCAAATGATGTCTCTAATTGTACATGGCATTTGAGACTATCATACCTTATGCTTAGCTTGAAATCGAGTTTTTGATCAAAAAGAGAGGAGAACTACGCCCAGTTTGATAGGGTTAGATTAGAAACTCAACAAAATAGTAAGAATTGGAATGTTTCAATTTGTTTTCATCCTTACTGTTGTTATGATGATTCTTCTTGCGAATCAGAGATCAAAAAGTGATGTGAGGCGGAGATGCTAAAAGCTGTGTCTACCCGAAAATAAAAATAAACAAAAAATCATATTTTACTGTTAATCTGCAATTATTCAGATGGATGGGACGTCGTCGAACTGACGTCTTTCGACACTTAAACTTTTTTTTTCAAGACTTGAAACCACTCATATCTAAGTAATACTTCTAGAATAAAGATAAAGTCACAATGCAGAAGCAAGACATTTCGAACTTATGAACAACGATAAAGAATTATTTTCAAGTCTGTACCACTATAAATTTAATACTAATAAGAAAACATCGATCGAATTCATAGTTTGTCCATATGTAAAACACACTGAAGTCAGTGAATGCTCAGGACGGTTCATGCCTTGTCCTTCCGAAATTATGACCGTTTTATTAAGTTTTCGAACCTAGTAAAAGATCGAATGATGGTAAGTCTGATATGAAATTTTGCACATGAGTAGATCTCTTGATTATTAAATTGTTCAGAAATGTTCCAATTGAAAATCACATTTCCTTCTTGAAATATTGTTTGATCGAGAAACTTTCATATTTTATAAGTAAAGGTCAGAACATCAATTTTTTTCATCGTTCAATAATTCAACTTAAAGTGATACTTTTTTGAGCAATCGAATAATGGTGAGAATTACTCATGCAGTCAAACTGGTATCAGTCGATCTTCTAGTAGGTAGATTCCCTGAAGTCAAAAATTCAACACAACGATCATAAATCCAGAAGGACAAGACACGAGTCCGAAATCTTTTGGACTTCTACTAGCCTCACTGAATCTTGTGGGAACTGAAACAATGAACATGAAGAAACTTCAGTTTCACTCAAAAAAATGAAGATAAATATGACATCTATTGAAAGATCAATAGGTGCATATGAATGTGAGTGTTAGTCTTCTCGTCATTCCCATTCGTACACCCACTTCCTTAACTTTTTGATGCTGAAATTTCTTCGTGCTGATTGTTCATCAATCCAAATGCTAAACATGAGAGAACAATAAACACGATCGACATCCGACAGACTTCTTCGTAAGTTCGATATCGAAATTAAGCACAAGACTATTCTCACTCATATCTCATCGAATATGAACAATTAACAAAAATGAATTATAATTGACGTTCATCACTTTGAAATATGTAATTCATCAACAAATTATATGAAGTAGATAGACAACCATTATTTAAATTTAAATCAAAATGCTTAGTTTGATTTTTTTGTATTAAATCACATTGTCAAACGAAATAATTTATTTAAAACACAAAGTCATATTAGAAAAAATCATTTATAATTTCTATTTTCTTAAAAATATATAAAACAAAAAATGATTTGTTTTTTTCTATATATTAGGTCCTGCAATTAAAACAAGAATTAGAAAAAGAACGAGGAATCATAGTACGTTTACAATCAAATGATCTTTCTTTGGAACGTTTTGAAAAAGCACAAGAAATTATTGAACAACTTAAATCTGAAATAACTCAATTAAAACAAGAAAAATTTATTCAAAATAATCAATTACAAGAACTACAAGAACATGCTAATCAATTAACTATTGAAAATAATCAATTAGCACTTAGCATGAAACAATTAAAAGATTTATTTGAACAATATGATCAAACAATAAAACATATTCATGATAAAATTAATAATGACAAAACATTAGGTTACATTGAAATTTTTATATTCAAATTGTTTTTTTTTGTTATATAGAAATTATTTTCTTTCATAGAATTAGAAGATCTACGTTTAATATTAATAGAAAATTCTTCAAATAATAATCAACATCTTCTATCAACAATTGATAATGATATAAAAAAATCTAATCAACATATGCGTGATTTACATAATGAAATTGATATAAAAACTTATCGTATAAAAGAACTTGACGTATTACTCCAACAAGAAAAAAATCGTTGTAAAGAAATTGAAACTAAACTTAAAGTTGTATTAGAATTACGTGAACGTGATACTCATTTACATATACGTCAATTAGGACAAACCGATGCTGAATTACGTAAAGCAAGAACAGACACAGAACGTATTCGTATTTTACAACAACAACTTGAATTTAAACAGTAAAATTTCTATTTTAAATAAAAATAATTTTTTTTAAAAAGTTTTATTTTCGATTTAGACAACAATTAGATGATGTACAAAAAGTTCTTTCAACTGAACAAATAAAATTTAATGAAGAATGTAGTAAATTACAACATGACACACATGAAAAATGGATGGAAGTTAAACGTGTAACACGAGAACTTGAAGCTTCAAAAAAAGAATGTGAAAGTCTACGAAGACAGTAAGTTTTATTACCTTGATTATATATTGATGCATCATTGTTTCTTTTTCGATTTATAGAATTACTAAATATGCAAAGAATGCACATTTCTCACAAGAAAAAACTATGATTAAACCAGTATCACAACATATGAGAAACAGTGGTAAGAATACAATAGTAAAATGAATAAGTTTTGAATTTTTTTGGTTAATTTTAGAAGAGTTAGATTCACACAGTAGTTCACCAAGTCATTATCAACAAGATGAAAAGTAATGACAATTATCTTTTGCAATAGAAGATTATTTCTATTCTTTTTTTTTTCTTCATTTCAGTTTTAGACCCATTGATTATCAACATAATAATTCTGGTGGTGCTAGTCCGACTGAAATGTTCATACCTAGTAAATAGTATTTTGTTTTTATAAATCTTTCTCTAATAAACTATATTTTGATTAATCAGGACCAACTCTTTTTAATCTGCCTCGACCTCCATTTTTTCCACCACCATTTATGCCACCTTTACAGGCTAATCCATTTATGATGCATCCAAGATTTCCAATGACACCTGTTGGTTCATATGGAATTATGTCACCTATGTCACATTTGATAACCAATGGTAGTGATGGAAATAATTCAGAAATCATTGATTCATCAAATATAACTCCAAATTCAACAAGTTATGATATGGAATCGAATGGAATAACTACATCATCTTTACCTGATGGTAAAAATTTTCAAAATATATAAAATAAATAATAATAAATTTTCTATATCTTAGATGAACAACAAATAAAAACAAAAAAACCAAAGAAATCCTTAAAAAAAAAGACAAAAACATCAGGAACAACAGTAATAAAAGAAGATGTATAATCGGTATTTATTGAATAAAAAAAACAAACAAACTTGTTTTAATACTGATACTTCTTGTTATATATATATTTTTTTCTCCTTGTTAGACATAAAAATTTTATTTATATTTGAAATTTTTCTTTTCATTTGACTTTATGTGAACGTATTATTGTAATTAAAATTTTAACAAAAAAAAATTCATACAGTATTTTACTGTGATTCCATATATATGCTTTCTTAAACGTAAACATTTGTCTATTGTGAACAATGAAAACTGTTATTTTATTTGTTAATTGTTTCCATATTGTTTCTGTTGCTTACATATACATTTATCGAGAAATAAAATTATTAAAAAAAATAGGTATCTGATATAAAGGTTTATTTTTATTGTCAATCTACTTCATAGTTGACTAGATTTCTAATACAAACATTGATTTAAAATGTTGAAATGATATTTTCAGTTGTTGAAATTCTAGTTAATAATTTTGTTTCAATAGTTGATAGTATATAACACAAAAAAGATAAATAATCATTATGTATAAGGTTTGTTGTAGAAATTCTGGAACGATTTTAAAATTCATCGTTTTCGTATTAAAAAAAATGCAAATTATTGTACCTACTTAGTATTAAATAACTGTAAAGTTTTAGGTCTTTAGCTTTGACTAAAGATAAGAATCTGTAACAACATTATCATGTACTATTTGATCAATTCTTCAATAACATATGTGGATAAAATTTGATACGAAAATGTTGATCCAAGGGACTTTTTGGAAAACACATGCAGAAAACAAAAATGTTTTTTTTGCAAACATATATTTATTTCTACATATATTTATTTCTACATATATTGATGATAGAGAGCTACAAAACTAGATGATGTTTGACCTATAAAACATACTCGGAGTGCGTTAATAAAAGAGAAATTCGAAATGTAGAAATACAATAATATCGAACAACTGAAAAATGATATTAAAAAGGAATGAAACAAAGTTAGTGTTCCTTTATGTCCACGAATGATAGTTAAAATACTAGTACAATTAAAATTAGTAATCAATAATCAAATTGGCGAACATTGATAACTTAATATGTGTTTCGTTTTAGTTCGAAAAGTTGTATTGTTGTTAAAGGAATAATAACTAAGATAATGAGGAGATTTGAAAAAAATAATATATGATAGTGTTGTTACAGATTCCATTAAAGCTATAGATCTCAAAGTTTGTAATTATTTAGTACTAATGAGGGGACTGCCTGAACTGTAACTCGCCGTTTGAGTTCACATTGAGCCTACGAGAAAGTCTTGGTAAGACTAGAAAAATCTTGAAATGGTCGTTTCTAAAGGATTTCTGGAGCCGAGTTATGTCCGTTTTACTGAGTTTTCAACTCATTTTTAGATATCTATTGAAAAATCAAATAACAGAATTTTGCTGTGCAATTCTGCCAATAGATAAGTTGAATGATCCTTGGAATATCCTGAAAGTTTTAGCTGAAAAGGACGTTCCTTTGTCGAGATACTGAATTTCTAAGTAGATTCGACGTTTGTAACAAGCGATTATTTCTGGGAACATTCTTTTCAACTGAAACATTCAGAATATTCCGAGAATGATTAGATCTATCGAAATTTTACTATTTGACTTTTGCAGTGAGTACCTAAAAATTAATCAAAAATTCAGTAAAACAGTCAGAACTCGGCTCTAGCAGTTTATAGGCACAAATCATTTTAGAATTTTTCTATTTGAAAAATGTTACAATCGTCCTAGAACTCTAGGACACTTGATAACCTTTTCAAATATCATCATTGCACAACAACAATATGATAAGACTTTTTTTTTTTACTTCGTTCTTCTTTACTTTACATCAATGTAGAGAATAAGAGATAGACTACATGTTAAAACTTCAGCTATCACAATAACTGTAAGAATGAGTTGATTGTAAAGATATATGTTGAATAAATTGAACGAAAATTTTAATCATATTATTATCAATGTTACATAAATATATTTCTAATCTATTCAGACTTTTTTCATTTTTTAGAAAAATTAAATTCTTTATTTTGATATAAAGCAAGGTTATTGAAAAATAAAATAATGTTTAACAGCATTATAAAAATTTTTTATTTTTAGATTAAGATGAATTATGTACGAATGCCTATTGAAATTGAATCGCCTGAACAAATGGGTTATGAAAATGTTAAATATAACTTAACTGAAAGTTCAGTTACAGATACGAAACTCGGTGATTTAAATATCAATTTGGAAGAACTTATTATTGCTTACGGAGATCATATGGGTCATCAAAAATTACGTGAATTAATTGCTAAAGATGCTGGTGTACACGTGGATGATGTTTTACTTACAGCAGGTTCAGCAACTGCTCTATTTATTGTTTCAACTAGTCTACTTGGAAAAAATGATCGAATATTAGTTGAACATCCTAATTATGCAACAAACATTGAAACACCACGTGCTATAGGTGCTAAGATTGATTTTATTGAACTTCAATTTGAAAATGCATTTCGTTTATCAATAGACGAAATTGAAAATAAAATAATATCGAATGAAACAAAATTTATTAGTATAACTGTACCTAATAATCCAACAGGTACAGTTATATCACATGATGATCTTAATAAACTTATTTTACTTACAAAAGATAAAGATATTATATTAGTTGTTGATGAAACATATCGAGATATGACATTTAAAAATTTACTTCCTGTCGCAGCATCTCTTGCATCACATATTATATCAGTTTCATCATTATCAAAAACATATGGTCTTCCAGGAATTCGAATTGGATGGTTAATTTGTCAAGATAAAAAACTTATGGAAAAATTCTTAGCTGCTAAAGAACAAATTATGATTTGTGGTTCGGTTGTCGATGAAGAAATTGCTTATCGTTATATGTTAACTCGTAATAAACGATTATCATTAATTCTAGAAGAAATACAAATTCGATTTAATATTATGAAAGAATGGATAAATGAATCAAATCAATATCTTGAATGGATAGAACCACAAGGTGGTGTCGTTTGTTTTCCAAGAATAAAAGTTAATATTGATATTGAAGAATTCTATAAAATATTAAATAATACATTTAAAACATTTGTTGGCCCAGGACATTGGTTTGATATGAATAAAAAATTCATGCGAATTGGTTACGGTTGGCCATCAACACGTGATGAACTTACACAAGGATTAAAAAACATTACATCTGCTATCAAACTTTGCTTAGAAGAAAAGAATTAGATTGCATTGATGTTTTCGTTTTTTTAATTTTAATATTAGTTTTTTCTACCCCCGAAATAGAAACCTAGTCTAATGACTATAATTTCCCGGATGTAACAGAAGTTCACTGAATTCGAAATGTGTACATATAGAGAAATCAAGAATGCGAATAATTTTATTGATAATGTTCATTATTTTCAATTAAATGCCGATGTGCTCATTAATCTAATTCTTTCGTTCTGCAAATATTTTTCTTGTTGGACTGGTTAACTTCGTATATTTAGCTGTGACAAGTCAATACCTCTGCTTTTTAACAATGTTTTTTTTTCTCTATTCTAAATCGTAACATATACAGAGGTGTCTCGAGCGGAGAGAATGGCCAGAGACGGTCATTCCCAATAGAGCTCGTCGGAGATGTTCCGAACTTGGATCCAGGTCTGGAAATTTTCACTGCTCAAGTCCGGATGGGAAAAAAGCTTTGATGGATAAAATATTTTTTTAGTTTAATTCGTAAAATCTTTAATTTATTCATCAGAAAACTAAAAGAAAAATGACAAAACTCTTCTTGACTATAATATCTAAATCTATTTGCCATGGAGTTCAGGTCCAAAAAATTTAATCATTCGAATCCGGGTTCACATCTAAAATTTCTTGGGCCCGATGGGTTCTATCTTCATCCTCAATCTTCGAAAATTTCTTTCTTTTTTTGCTTTGCTTAAGTTTTCCCAATTCGAAAAACGCCTAAATGTATAAAATTATATACACATTTTAATACATTTACTACAACCTTAGTGCGTTGTTTTTTGAAAATAATATTTCAAAGTTTGCTGTACGAGACGAAAAAAGTTGGTCGTAATAGAAGTCCAGTGGGCTTTTATTCTGGGGATGGTATTAATTCTAAGAAAATTCAGTACGACTCGTAAACAGAGGTGTGCAAGACCAGACTTTTTTTTGTCCTATTTCCAGTAACTTCCTTCTTAGTGTTCTCGGCCTAGGAAAAATTATTCCAAAATTTATTTCTATTACAGCTAAAAAGACTCTTGAATAGATATGAAAAAAACATTGAAAGTGTCTCCATAAAGTTCTAAAATAATGATGATACTTTTTTTATTTGTGGTATGTAATTATTTTTCTTCCTAAAAATCAATCAAATTAAACTGAATCATACTTCAAAAGATAGAGCAAGTTTTACTCTACAAAACTGTATATTTAGATTTTTCTTAAATAAACTTTTAAACATATCTATGACAGGTTAATATATGAACGACGGCACAAAAACTTTCAAAATTTTATGTTGATTTTTAGTGTTTCGATGGAAAAGAAAATATCAAAAGGCATTCGGGCTGACAATAGTTTCATATGGATTCGTTAGAGTAGAAAAAACTGCACAAAATACACCTAAAGAAGTATCCAAAAAATATGCGCATGGTACTTTAATTTAGTCTAAAAGATAAAAGAACATTACTGTTATATAACACATTTTTATGGTATTTTCGAAATCTGCCAATCAAACGACAATATGATTAAGGTTTTTTTTGAAGCTGAAGACTAAGTGATATAGAACATCTAGAATCAATTTGTCAAGTTAATTAGATGATCGACTAATGAAGATATTATATGTAAAGAGGGTGTGGGTGTGGTTGTGAGTGTGGGTGTTAGAAGATCATCATTAATACCAGTCCCACAAACATCCACACCCTTAGACCCTTTACTAAGTTCGTTATACAAACGAGTAACTAATAATGACCGAGCAGAAAGATTCGGTCGCATGAGTTAAATAAAATTGTTCAGTGCAGC